TAACTTACCAGAGTATAAGACATCCTCAACTAAGTGGATCATCTAACCTATGCTTAAAATCAATAAGGAATCATCTAAAAAGTATGACCCTTTTACCCATGTTGGCATACATGGTTTATGAAGACTTTGAGTTATCTGAACTCGTCCCCATATTGGTGCTCAATACTACTCCAAATAATATAACTCATGCTCATATGTTTAAAAACATTTCCTCATCCTCAAACTTTGAGATTATTACTCAAAAGGTTCTCTTAAAAAAGATGGTGCTCAAAACTCCTCATGAACTCATTTGGAAATCGAAGTTTCCTCTCATTTTAAATGTAAAAATATTTACTCTTGGGAATACTTAGTTCCCTTATATTCAGTTTAAAAACATGAATTCAACTCTCTTCATCCTCATACTCAACTACTCAAGTCTTAAAACAAGTTTTAAAAGTTTGTAAAAGACTTCTCAAAATGACTTGAAAGGTTCTTTCAAACTTGACTCTTAATCTTTTTTTGAATTTGAAATGTGAATTCAAGAGTTATGATTCATGATATATAAGATCTCTCAATGATTAATGTGAGTTTAAATAGTTAGGATTAAGAAAGGAATGAAAGCTCGACTCAAAGAAACAAGTGTGAAATGAAAACGAAGAAGAAAAATGGCCTGACGCTTTGTGGCGCAGGGGTGGTGCGCCGCGCCAGGACTCCCCTTACTGGGGCTGGTTTCTGGCGCACTGATGGCGCCCCAGCCCGTTTTCAGAACGTTTTGAAGAATTTTTCTTCTCGATTTTTTGCCCTAATTCACCTAGAATCTTTTTTCAAACTCTCTTAGATTAGTATACCCAACATAAGTAAACAAAAATCTATTCAAATCTTCTCAAGAACAACCCTCAAACTCAAACCCTCACCTCAAGAACTCATCACACTCCAATAATAAAGATTAAAGAACGAAACTTTCAAGAAAACTCATCAAGAACTTCAATACACAGATTTCATGGAAGAATTTTAATCAAGAAACTCATGATTGGTGTGAGGGTGAACAAACTCATCACTATGAAAGCTTACATACCTCGAAAGAATCGAATTCTTGGCAAAAATCCTCAAAGTTCACAAGAATCTTGAACGCTTGAAGCTTTTTTCTCCTCTTGAACTTCTCTCTAAAATCCTAAGCGTGTTTGGGATTATGAAAACTAATCTCAATCGGTTTAGACCCCTATTTGGGTGGAAAAAAATGTTTAAGGCTAATGGGGTAAGGAAAAGATCAAAATACCCCTCCTTAATTCAGATGAATTTCTTTAATCAGACAGGTTGAACTCAACGGACATATCTCCCTCATCCATACTCGGAATTTAGCAAATTCGGTGGCATTGGAAAGATGACTCAGAGGTCTTTCATTTCACACCTTATGACCTACCTAACTCATCCTGTACCGAAAGTTATGATCGTTTGAAGTTGACCCAAAACGCACAATTGAAGTCTAACTTGCACAAATCTCAAATTATCTCTTTCCAAATTAGTTCTTTCTAAAATTAGCTCTTTCGAAGACCGAGGTGTTACATATGCATCCTGGACTTGGTTCTTTGAACAGTTTAGAGAAGCTTCTGGTTTAAAAGAAAATATGTGTGTTGTATCTGATAGGAAGGAGAGTTTTTATAAAGATAGTTTTGAGGATATACAAGGGGTCTCACATTATGCTTGTACATGACATTTGTGAAAAAAATGTGAAGAAATCATACAACAGGCTTTCGAAAGTGTTTTATGCCATGACAAAGGCATACAACTAATCTGATTTTGATATACTTACGGAAAAGGTTGAACAAGTTGATGTTCTGGTAAAGGATTACTTCGAGTTGGCAGGGCATGAAAAATGAACTAGAATATATGCAACAGTTGATCGAGAATTTACTATGACATCAAACATAACTGAATGCATAAATTCAATCCTCGCATTAGAGTACTAATTAGTTCAACATGTTTGCTAATAATAATGTGAGGTAACCCCCCACCCACCCCGCACCCCACTATTTTTTATTATATCTGAGTTAATATTTTAGATGGTCACTCAATTTTTAATATTTCATATAATAAAGTCATTCAATTTTATTTTACAATCCAAATAGTTATAAAATGTGTGTTTTCTCATTTCTTTATTATTTTTTATAGTTCTTTTTCAGTGTAATATCGAATTTCAATTATTTTTTTAATCCCCGTTCACGCAATTTTGGAATTGAATGTTTACAAACACTGCAGCAAGCAACTTGACACATAGAAACCTTATTCTGAATTTATTTATTTTTATTATCAAGTTATGAACTTTCATAATTTGTTTGAAATTTTGTTATCCTTCTTTTTATCAAGTTTTTTATGTTTTATTTTTTTTGTTTCAGAGGTATATATCGTAATTTGTTATTATTGATTACGTAGCTTAAGTAATTGCGTGAACGGGGGATTAAAAAAATAATTGAAATTCGATATTACACTGAAAAAGAACTATAAAAATAATTTGTTATTATTGTTATCCTCCTTTTTGTTCTCAAAGACACTAATGCTTCTTGTTTGTCTGATATATTCAGGGTGAAGCTAGAAGTCTGGATACAAATTCACTTGAATTTGATAACTTTTATAAAAAAAATGTATTTATGTTAAGAAATTTATCAAACATGTATTATAAACATGAAATCCTTTATCTTTGATAATTTTCCACACACTTGACCAATCATGGTTAATATAGTACGGAAAGGGCTGCTTAGCTCATTAATTTTGCTGAATAAGTCAAGTTCAATTCTAAGCTTGGTTAAAAAACAAACAAACAAACAAATAAAATTATAAGTCAAATTTGTTGAAAAAATTCCATGCCTTGAATTAATTGAGTTGAGTTTTATTTATAAGGATTTGATCAATTCTTAATTTTTGATAGTCTTTTTCAAACCAAAATTTATACGAAATATACTACTTCACCAAACATGACTTTTTGTAATTAAAATAATTGTAGAAAATACTTCTTTATTAATTATTAAAATAAGAATAAGACATGGTGTACATGAATTAATAAGACAGAGAGAATTGTTGTTATTATTGTATATTGTATATACATACAAAAGTAATACATAGTTGTGACGTGTGAGGATTAGCATCTTTCTTGATGAAGAATAAGACATGGTTTACATGAATTTATAATTTATTTCCCTATATTGTACTATATAGTATATATATGATGTTAACATTTCTCGTACTGCTTTATTTAATGAAGAAAAAAAATAGGATGCGGTAAATCACCTTGTTATTAATAACAATCGCTAATTAGATATTATCGTTTAAATTCCAATAGAGATAAGGTAATTTCATTTTATTTGCCAAAAATTTAATGAATTGAATTGCTCATTGCCCATGCTAAAAAGTTGATATGCACTTGAATAGTTAAAATGCGCACAAGATAGCATAAACATTTTTTTTTTTTTTAAAAGAAAATTATTTTCATATAAATATTAACACTGGAGATAATATTTAAATAATATTATTTTCGTGTAAATCACCTTCTACCATTTGTTCTTAGGAAATTACATTAAATGACCTTAAAAATGAATTGTGTTGAACTTTTGACCTCCGCTTTTTGTATAGTGAACCTTCAACTTCAAAAGAAAAAATTCATTGACCTTGAAGTTTTTTTGTTGGGTGTCCTGTCCTCATATTAAAATATGATTAAATCTTAATTCACAATGAAAATTTTATATTTGAGATAAGTGCTTCCTAACAAAAGCTACTATATACTCAAGAAAACTCGAATCAAAGATATTTAATAAAAAAATGAAAAAGTACTTGATAATACAACACAATTATTGATAGCTAAAAGTTTTACCCACTAGACAAGTTAAGTCAAAAGTTCAACATCACCCCATCTATAGATAGAGAAAACAGTTCACCCAATGGTCTATAGATTTCGTAAAAACCCAATATTCCCTCTGTCACTAATTATTTGTTCACTTTTGAATTGACACATTTATTAAAAAATAATGATTGACACAATAAGTTTATCATTTTATCCTTATTAATTACTCCGTTCATTTCATATTAATTGAATTGTTGAGACATTTTTCATTTTTCAAATTAACTTAATTGTTCAGTTTTCAAGACTACTTTTAAAGTGTTCTTTCAATTTTACCCTTCATTAGTTAGTATTGAAATTAGTAATTAATTAATATTTAGTTACTTTAATCATAAATTTGACAATAATTAATAAGGATAAAAATGAAAAGTTTTGCCTAATGTATGTCTTAATCTTCTTTTCACACCTTACCAATTCAATTAATATGAAATAGAGGGAGTATGAAGTGAATGAATTAAAAATTAAAATTTTCAAAAGGTTTTATTAAAAAAATTGTACAAAAAGGTACAAGTAAAAAAATAAAATTAGAACAAGTAATTAAAGACGGAGAAAGTATATTCTAGTCGGTCAATTGACAATGAAAGCTTTCAAAATTGAAGACCCACTCAATTTGTCGGCGGAGTGCATTGGACAAGGACGAGTCTACTTTCTCCTCTCCGTCTCTCTCCTTCCAACTGATTGTCATCTGAAGAAACTCCCAATTGGAGGTTCATTTCTTGTCTTTTTTTTCTTCTTTTTTGTGGTAATTTTATGGCTTAATATGCATTCTTCTTTGTTTCCCAGTAAGTAGAGAAATCAGAATAGTTCAATATTTGTTGTAGCGGATATTAATGTGCTTGAGTTGAACCCTCTGAATTGTACTAGATCTAATTTCTGGTGCATAAATCTACATTTTGGTCAAAATTATGTATATCACGGGAATTTTAGTAGCTCAGTAGGTTGGTTATTCGAAGTTTCCCCTTGTTGGTGGGATGTCCTATGTCTTCCTGCAATTAAGAAAAAAAAAAGTGTAGTAAGTATGCCATATTGAGAGTTTTCAATTGATTTAGGTGCTTTTGGTATGAAGAAAGATGTATCAATAGAACTTTCAGTTTTTTTTTTAAATATTTTGGTTTGTTTATTTTATCTGAATTCTGATGAGTGAATTGATGTTTTTTCAGGATAATCTGTTTAGACTGCATCAACTAAACAAAATTTGATCATATTGGGGAAAATGTAATGCCTTTATTCTCTATAAATTGTATTTTTAGCCAGATCTTTACTTGAAGTCGATTTCTGCTGCTAATGTATGTTTGATAGACAAAGGATAAAGAAAAGAAATTATGTTGGAATATGATGTGTTGCACCCAAGGGTGTAACTTAGTGGTCAATGAAGTGTGTTGAGAACCATAAGGTTTCAGGTTCAAATACTAACAAAGACAAAGTAACTAGGTGATTTCTTTTCATGTGTCATGGCCTTGGTGGATAGAGTTAGCAGGTACATGTTGCTAGTGGGAGATGACATGTATCCCTTGAAATTAGTCGAGGTGCGCAGAACCTGACCCGGACACTGTTGTTATTAAACAATTAAAGAAGCAAATAGAAGTAGCCAGTTGTTGACTTAATGTTCTGTTTAGCACCCAAAAGCTAAAATATTGTACTAGGAGGGTTGATTATACTTTCTTATGAAGTTTCATCTGAAAATATTGCTATCCTTGAAAGGACAACTTGGTTGGGCGATTTATAATTTCTTTGCTTGAAGCACTGTTAAGCCCTGAATTTGAATTCAAATTTTGTTTGCCTACCACCAAAGTTTTACAACTTAGTGGTTCCGGTATGATTTCCCAACATAATAGTTGTGAGTTCAATTCTCGTTGTTCCCTTTCCACTGCCCCTATCCACCGATGTAATAGAAGAAAACAAAATTTATCCTTACACAAAAAGCCTATGGAATGTGTCAAATTTCACCAATTCCAACCTTTTATATTTGGGATATAAAGGAGTAACTTTTTCCGTAAATTCTCTCTTAATGGAAGAACTAATTATGTTATCCCTAATAAAAATATGAGTCCTTGTTGCAAGTAGTTAAGGAAAATGGGGTCAAGTTGTTTGACCTACTCTTTTTGGAAGAAGCTGAACCTTTTTGAGATTGTCTTATGCAATTAGTTTAGTATTGTTATTGATGCTGTTTAAATTTGCTTCCAACATATTTCATTGATGTGCAGGGGGGCACATGTAAAATGGGATGAGGCAAATCTGGAAGAAATTGAGGTAAATAAGCCAGTGAGGCAGAAAATAACTGAACCAAAGACACCATTTCACCGTTCGATCGACGATGATGATGGTATGTTCATGCAATTTCTATTTGTTTCCTCATGCCTTATTGTCATAATAGAAATTATCTTGCACCAAGGATGTTGTCTAGTAGTCAATGAAGTGGGTTGAGAACCATGAGTTTTCAAGTCCAAATCGCCGCAAAGACAAAAACACAAGGTGATTTCTTCCCATCTTCCTAGCCTTGGTAGAGAGAGTTACCTGGTACCTGGTGTTGGTGGGAGGTATTCCTTAGAATCAATCGAGGTGCTCAAAAGTCGGTTTGGACACAATTATAAAAGAAAAGATAAAATAAAAGAACAGAAGCTCTCTTTTTATGCACCAATAGAGCAGATTTGATGGTGCTGTGTTGCAAATTCTATTTTTTTTAACATGACTATAAATATAAATAGATGAAGTTTACTAATGTACAGTTACTAACCTGGTTCAGGGCACTAAATGGTCATCTTTCTTGCCGTCAATGGTGAGCTTCTACCAAGGGATGGTTGGGAATCATATGATAGACAACCTAAGAGCTTCTTTGTTTGTTGTCTTATCCCTTTTGAATGAGTCTTAAGTCATATTGATGATCTATAGTTTGACCTGAGGTTGGATTTGATTTTTGTTGATGGTTTGATTAGATGTTTTTTATAAGTATTTCGTTAACTCCAAATACTAAAGTTGATTTATGTTCTTCTTCTCAATATTTCTATTGCCTTGGAAGCTTCTCATTTGATACTTAACCTACTAGAATATTTAAAATTGCTGGATGTTGGAGCCTAATGACTTACGAACCTCTGGGATTTTCTTTATTGATGTGGCAACAACCGTTGGTTAATATATTAGGTTATTCATTTACAACAGTCCAATAATTATATTATGTAAATTGAAATCTTCAAAGTTTCGAAAACAAAATTTGAACGGGTGAAAAACAATCTGTGCTCAACGTAATTATCTTCTGGGAAGTGTGTAACCTTTGAATTCTCAAATTGCGTTGATGAGACTTTATTGAAGGAAATTTGATAACCTGGCAACCTTATACATATAACGCATATATAATATATATGAATAAGTGGTCTTGACCACCATGTAAGTGTTCAAATGTGTGCCTCTTCATAAGCTTCATAATTGCCCCTCTAGATGTGATCCTCATAAGCCTAATCCACATAATGCCTTCCTTTTCTCTTCATGTCATTAACTGAATTTGGCATTATAGGTGGAAGAAAGGGCTCGAGATGGATTTAGGATGTACACTCTGTGGCATTTTCCCCTCTGTACTCATGTAGATTTTCTTTTTAAAGTATCTCATAAGGGTAACACTGCAAGCATGAGGTTTTTACTCTATGTAATGTATTTCACGTACAAATAAATTATTGTAAGTATTTGCTATTTTCTCAATTTTTCTCTCATTTTTTGCTATTGAAACTTGGTATTTTAATGTTTGTTTGGATATGGTATTGGATTTGCAAATAGATGGTGACCGAATTGAATAGGGTTATATTATAATGTGTTAAAGGATAAAGTTAAATGTGACATCATGTTAGTATACAAGGACTAAAACTATAATTTGCTCTTATTGCTTTCCAATTTTTTGCTGACTACAACGATACTATATAGGATCTCCATCTCCATGGGATACTATTGAGGAGGCCAGTGCATTGGATGAAGCTTCTTCCAGTGAAAATAAATCCCGACTGTCTGGCTGGCCATCTTCTGACGATGAGGCTGATATCATGGACCAAGACGACGAAGGTCTAACTTTATCTGTATTTTATGTCTCAATATTGTACTTCAGATTTCTAATTTTTGTTATACAGCAGATACTACTCTGCCACAATAGTATGTCATATAGAAAAATCCGTCAAAGTATCTTGCTTTTTGTGTGCTTTCTCATTGGCGGTTTCCTTAAGTGGTGAAAGGTTATGCTATAGATCACCTGCTTTCTTGCATTGTTATTTTTTGTTATCAACTGGCTGCACTTGGTGTAACTGGTAAAGTTGCCTCCATGTGACCAAGAGGTCATGGGTTTGAGCCGTGGAAACAGTGTCTTGTAGAAATGCTGGGTAAAACTGCTTACAATAAACCCTTGTGGTCCGGCCCTTCTCCGGACCCCACATATAGCATGAGCTTAGTGCAACCAGGTTGTCCTTTAGTTTATTTGGATTTAACGAGGGGTTGGGTTAGGTTGGGGTTGCATAAGTGAATTCGATTATGTTGTATGTTTTATATAGTATGCACGACCAACTATGCCCATGTCTTTGATTTGTTTTTCTACAACATCAATAGATTCTGGTTCAGAAAGGAGCAGGAGCTTTAGGGAGCACAGGCGAGCACACTATGACGAATATAGGAAAATCAAAGAACTGCGTAGAGAGGGCTCCTCTCTTGAAGGAGCATCCGACGATGAGATTGAGGATCTTGAGAAAAGGGATGGTAGGTGTAATACATCATCGTCATTGACATCTGCTGTTGAGGGCATTGACATTTCAGAAGAAAGCACAGACGATTCTAAATAGTCCTCTGTCACAGGTAATTGAACAAGGATGGTCCTGAAAATGTGCATTTTATTTCTAAGAATGTTGTTACCATAACCCGTTCTGTTTTTCGTACGTTCACTTTTGCTCGTAAGTTGTATGCATATAGATGGTATTTAACATACAGGATAAACATCTTCCGTTCAGTGGTTGCCATAATCTTTTGCTGGAAAATTTGTGAAATTACAAACTACGATTATCCGACTTCCAGTACTGTTCTTTCATAGTTGTCATTGTTGACATGTTTGTTACCCGAGTCTGCTCAGTTTTCTGGGATCCGAGTCGTGAGAGTAATAAGTTTGTGATGGCTTTGTGCCTTTTCACCTCAACTTGTAAAATTATACAAGTTTCTGTACTTTGATAAAACTATAGAATTGTTGTAACACAATACTTTGGAGCCACAAGTAGAGTTTCTTGAATGTATACAAGTTTGTGTACTTCTGAGTTTCTAAAATACAACATTTCACAGCCATTTATCATTCTTGACTAGCTTCCAAATTAATGCACTTCACCATTACATTAATGGTACGTACTACGTACAACAACATATCCAGTATAATTCCACAAGTGAAATGGTAAGTATTACGTAGCGTGTAATATTTGTCTAGCTTCGATAAAGTTGATTCATTGCTTAGTTCATGAAGTTTTAAGGTTGTTCATATAACCACTAACAAGTATGCTTTAATCTCAAACTATTTCAATTCTAGATAAATTGTGAAGGAATCATAATAAAGTTAAAGCTAAGTAGTGTTTTTCTAGTTGTCTAAACTAGATAAATAGGTAGGTGAGTGTTTTTCTTGATAAAATTTACTTTTCAAACATTGCTTCAATTTTATTTCTTTTTTACTAATAATATAGGGGAAATATAAAGGTCAAATAAATATCATAAGTACGGTACCTATTAACCTATGCCATGTGTCACTAATTCAAATAGGAATTTGGGGAAAATGGAGACGAGACGGATCCCCTAATTAAATATTTTCATATGAGTTTGTATTTCATCGATTTTCAAAGCTTCCTTTGACATAATTATATAATATCTTCCTATAATTAGAATGGCATTATATAACGATGGGAAACGATACAATCTATCCAAACAATGTATTCATTAAAACAATACAACGCAACACAATACAATATGATATATTATGAAACAATACGCAACAACCATCCAAACAAAGTGCAAGAGTGAGAACTTTTAAAAGAGCCAATGATCATTTCAATTAGAGATGAAATAGTATTAGTATTTTTAGAAAATGAATATACCATTTAAGAAAAGATGGAAAAAAATGTATTTCGAGGGAATTGATACTCTCCGGTTCTCTAGTAAATCACTCAACCTTCAAACAAGTGCACCATTTAGTTTTTTTTGTAGCATGAGCGTCAATAAATATTATTATTATTATATCAATTTTAGAAAAATAATGTAAGAATTATCTTATTTTACGGAGAGATCAAATTAAGAGATCATAAATTTACGTGCCTTGTACAACTGTACTCTGCCTATAAATTCGCCACTAACTCCAATGTATCCTCTGCATCGAGGGACTTTCAGAAATAACTTTTCAACCTTTATAAGATAAAGATAAATTGCGTACATAGTACACACCATTTTTTTCAGACCTTACTGGCTCACTTATAAAATCAGTTGTATCATCTCTGAATTTCATTTGCTTGCACTCTTTTTCCCTAATGACTTTTTCTTATAAGAATGATATGAATTTAGATAAAAAGAAGTTAGAGGTCGAAGATTACTAAGCAGTCAAATATTGTTAATTTTTTTTTGCTATTTATTATTATTTTATTTTTTATTTTACCATTACATGTTTTTTTTACTTCATCTAGCATATTATTTATTATCGATACTATTCATTTTTTTTATGACATTCATTATTGCATTTCCTTCCAAACCTACTCTAATATGCCTTACTTGCTCTGTCAATCTCTCTACCTTCACAAGATAAGAATAAAATCTACGTACCCACCATCCTTCAAGTTATAAGTTTACACAAAATTTGTTATTATTATAATAAAATGACATGTTTAAAATTCATAAAAAAAATTTAAAAGTATTTTTAATATGTTATATTCATTTTTAATTTAAAATTACAAAATTAAATTTTTTCCTTTGAATTTTTAAACTTCATGACCCGTTAACTAGGATACATAAAGTGAGGCTATTAGTATTAGTTACTCTTATACATAAGAGGCTAGGGAAGTAGATCTTGAACGACATATTTGCTTCTAATCAAGGATAATTTGGTTATTTATTGTATTATTGTGATTTTTGCTTTTATTGTTTGTACACCACATAATATTCGGTATGTTCTCTATCCACACACATTTGGATGTCCTCATTTTAGTTTTGAATATTCATAATTATTGTTGGACTTCCTTTTTGTTATTTTGAGCAAAAAATATTTATTTCATGCTAAAATTAACTAATAAAATTTATGGTATTCCACATTTCATTATCAAGACTAAAATTTTACTAATAATATGCTTTCAATATTGCTCATTACTAAATATTCTAGCACAATATCAAAGATTGATCAATTCTTGAAATTCTATTAGTGCCACATAAATTAAAATATAAGGAGCAATATATATTATTTTAAAGTCACCTAAAAATAATATAAATCAGTATAACTAAAAACCTAAAACAATTAAAATCATATAAATTTTTTGATTGACTCTTGAAATTTCATTTGCGCCACATAAATTGAGACAGAGGAAATAATATATATTATTTGAAAATGACTTAAAAAGTACTACTATAAGTTACAATAATTAGCAACTATTTAAAGACATAGAAAAATTAATTTACTATCCAAATTTTATTTGTGACACATTAGTTGAAATATAAATAATTACATATATTAGACCTCTAGTATCTAAATGAGCACTCGAGAATATCCCTTAATTGTCAATAAAACTGAAGGATATCCTTAAATTTAGGTAATTTTTGTATTGTAATCCCTTCCGATAATGCAACTCCCCTGAAGAATATGTTGGACTCACAATATTATAGTCACTCAAAAAGGAGCAAGACATTGAGACATTAGTAATCTAACAAAAACAAAAAGAAGAAACAATGCAGTGAGACACTATCATTTATGATTCATGGGACTTGTCAATGATTTCATTGCATAAGTTCCAGCAGGCAAATCTAATGGGTTTTGTGGTAGGAATTTACAACAAGAAATGTCGCCAAAGCCACTTCTTCTATCCACTGCAAACAAATCTGCTTATTATCACTAATATTTAGTATGTATATTGGTTAAAAATATAATGGTGTATACCTAAATGACAAAAAAATAGTTGTTACATTGGATATTTAATCTTGCTATAAACTTGGCCACCTAATTGCATACAATGAAAATTTTGATTCATTCCCTAATATTGATCATATTGTTATTTTTATTTTTCAATAAAAATCTTAAACGAAAAGCATTACTTCTTTCTCAATAAGGCTGAGATTGAACATATCCCTAACTTAAGGCTGAGTTGACAATATACCAATTTATATAATCAAACATGAAACATTAATATACATTTATAAATTATTATACGTCACACAATATCACAAGTGTTTAAATATTAGATAACTTTTTATTGATTTTAGTTTTGAAAACTTTTTTTAATTGAGTCGATTGTTACATAAACTATTAAAATTATTCTAGAAATAGTAAAAATATTTTAAAATAAAATTAAGACTCCACTTAATTGAGTATGATTAGAGTTTTATTTTGTGACATCCTAACTTAGGGAAAATATTCCACATTGACAAAAATACATTATAGATGTTGGATATATGATCCATATATAATAGATCCTTAATAATGTGTTTTAAATTGTGCGGGCCTAGGTTCAAAGCAGATAATATCACTAGTATTATTATGAGCAAATTGTATATAATAGCAAACTATTAATTCAAATTAAATGCTATAAACATAGTTTGATTTAATTGTACACCATAGCAAACTGTTGCTATTTCGCCTCTCTCTTGGTGAATCTTGCTCGCCACTCTCGTTCTTGCTGGCAGTGTCCTTCGCCTCTTTCGCTTTTATACAAACACAAATGTATAAAATGCGTTTGTGTTTGTATAAAGCGAGAGAAAATTGTATATATACATATACTTTAGTTCCCCTCTCTCCCCTCTCCCAGATCTCGCTCGCTACTCTCCTAGATCTCGCTTGTCACTCTCCCAGATCTCGCTCGCCTCTCTCACTTTATACAAACACAAATGTATACATTGCGTTTGTGTTTGTATAAAGCGAGAGACAATTGTATATACAAATACAAATGCATATATTTTCGTCCTATACACTTATGATTATACAAATACGATCTTCCCCTACGTAGTTTTCTTTTTTCTTTCTCTCTTTCTCGCTTTATACAAATACAAATTATACAATTGATCTTTTGTATATGTATACCGAAATAGAAACATATTATACAACTGGTTTCTTTTGTATATGTACAACGAAATATACATATTTATGTTTGCTATGGAACGCAATTATGCAAACTATAGCTATAACATACAAATATGATTTTTATGTTTGTTATATGTGAAAGTTGCTCTTATTATAGACTACTTGTCATCCACATGGTGAACTCTCCTCCCTCCAGGCTTCAACCGTAGTGTTTCTGAATATTTGTTCGATTTATTTTTGTTATCCTACTTTCTTTTTTAATCTTTTTAATATTAAGGTCTAACCCTACTTGTTTATATTTATCTTTACTAAGATTTTTTTTAACAAAATGCCACTAGACACGGCCTCTAGTGGTAATTTTGCCAAAATATTTTTTTATCCACATAATATGTTTAACCTCACATGATTAAAGAGCAATTTGGTATTCTATATATTTTTAGTTTAAGATCTCAAAATTCCAAAAAAATTATTCACTTTCTTAAATTTCTTATCAAGTCAAAATGAGACAAACAAATAAAATGAACAAGAATTTGGAAACATTGCAAAATCTTCCCGAGTTAATATCTGTATCAGTTAAATTACTCAACTTAAACATTTGAATCAATAAAATCACTCAACTAAATTTATCATTAATTAAATATATGACATTATTTTATCAATCCACATGCAATTAGACTCATTCACAATCCTACCCATCAACCAAAATTCCAAATCCAATTA